ATTTCACTTCCTTTTTTTTTTTTTTGTAAGAAGCCGATAATAAGATGGTGTATATATATAGGATTCTACTAATTTGTTGTAATATAATATTATTGATTATCTTTCGAACAGATAAAATAAAATAAAAAAAATAATAACAAATTTTGATTCTGAAATAAAAATCAGATTGTGTTGGAAAAAAATAGAATTGAAATTGATGATATGTTTATCCACTTAAAACGGAGAAAAAAATCTAAATAATATGCATATTAGGATAATGATATATATGTTCCCATATTAAGAGTTATTTATGCCGCAATTCATGTACACTAACTTTATTCAAATCCTGCATATCTTCTTAAACTTGTATGAAATCTCATGCAATTTGTTTGAATAATTCACCCATGCAATTTGCTTAAAATCCGCCAATACAATTTGTTTAAATTAGATACCCGACATTGTTAACTAAGATGATAAGATTTTGGTAAAAAAATCAGATATTGTTAATTGATACATGATATGGTAAACGATTCAGATAATATTTTGGTAAAAAATTAGGTATTGTTAATTGTTAAAAGGATGCTGTTATTTGTTAATTGTTAAAAGTTGGAGAATAATAAAAATATTTATACAATTCAAATTATTAATAATAAAAAATCAAATGAAATAAAACTGTTTACACCCAACCACAATATATACAATCACGACATACATTCAACCATCAGTCAAAATTTTTTTCTTTTCAATTCATATATCATTGAGATAAATTGCAACTAATAAAAAACTTAAAATGATAATATGATAAGCCTAATCATTTTGGCTTAAAATGAAATCAAACAATTATCTAACTATATAAAATAATATTTTATTTCTTAATATTTATTTAAAATTCCAATTATTATTTGCTATAAGTTTATTGTAGATCCCATTTATTTTTTGCTTACTATATATTTAAAAACTAAAATTGGTTGGATCGGGTTTAAGGTGATAAGCACGATCTCTTTTGTCGTGGGAGATCAAACATAAGGTATACTATTTCAGGCATAAAATTCGATTTCATTTGAAAAGCCCAATCAAATTTGGTTATGACCGAATCAAACAATTTTGAATAATATTAAATTAATCAATTACTATTAAATTAATTTTATTTGATTTTCACGTCTAAAATTTTCCAAAATAATATCTTTTTTTTTTTTTTTTTGTGGAAAATGGCAGCTGAATGAAAAAGTCAAATTCAAATTAGAAAAAGATATTTTGTAAACCTTAATTCATAAAAATATGGTCAATAATATCTTTAAATATAACGGGAAAATATGGTCAATGATATCATAAATTATTTTTTATATTCGGATCGTTCAACTTAATTGATGATTTTTTTTTTCGAAAAATATGACGAACATATAACTAATTTTATCATATATCATATGTTGGATGTTATTAGTTTGGTTGGAGACACTCATTATATTCAAATAAATAATATATAATTTTTCATATTTGGTATATCTTTTATTACAATAATAAAATGTTAAACAAAAAATAACTATGTTTAATATAAAGTCTTAGAAAAGGTTTTAAGTAAAAAGCTCGTCCGTACATCGCACGGGATACACACTAGTGTTAATCTAAAATACATTAAAGTTTCAAAAATTTAAATGCACATAAAAAATACCCGATCAATACACTGCATAATAATGTTATACAAAATACACATTATTTTTCTATGGGAATGAACATTATTGATTTTGATATTTCATTATTATGTCTTTTCAACAAAAAAAAATAATATACAATATCAAATATAAATATTAAAATACAAAATATAATATTATAGTATAAATAATAAATCATATCGATTATATAGGGTAATACAGTTAACTAATCGAATAAACTGACTATTTCAGTTTGGTTTGGGACAAATCATAATAAATGTATGCACTGTGAGTGCACAAGAAGTGCACATTAATTACTATCAAATTGCACATTAAGAATCAAAATCAACCGAGCCAAAATATTCAGTTCAAAAAATTATCACTTTGGTTCGATTATCTATTTTTATTTTTGAAATCTTGATTATTGCGGTGTCATAATTGTGAACTTTAAAATGTGTAAGGGCCACAATTCGTTAATCTCGTAAATAAATACTACGTAAATTTTTATTGTGCATGTCATCGATAAATAATGTGTATCTTACGTTACATTACACTAGTATGTAACCCGTGTGATGCACGGGCTGTATTTATTTTTATTTTTTTAAATATAAGTAGAAATCTATTACTAAATAAATTATGTTTCGTAAGACATTTGTAAAGTAATCATAATTTTTTCGTTGGTAATAATAAGTCATACATTATTAAAAGTCTCATTATACACAACATTATTAGTTTGATTACTGGGTAACTCATCGTCCCCACAAACTAATATTTTCTAGCACTTCCTATTAGTTGCACATGATACAACAACATATAATTGAATGTGACTAAAAAACGATTTCTTCAAGAACAACTATATGCGATAAAGACTAACCCTGACAATATTTATTTTTATATTTTCGTGTAAGATGCTTTTATCGTATGAGTTTGATTGGATATGTATAAGTATCACATTCGTGTCAAAGTTAAAAATATGGTATGAAATTGAAGTGATAATATTTCTTGATGTGGTAAATATCACAGATTTTGTTTATTCGGATGATACCAAAAAGAAAAATATTTTCACCACAAAAATTATGATATCGTAAAAAAAAAAATCGTTAAAAATCTCAAATTTAGTTAATATGATTTGTAGTAGAAGAGAACCGAATATTATGGCAGTATTAAACAAATTATTACTATGATTAGTGGATTTTATGTTTATCTCTTATATTCTCTTAGTCTCATTTAATAATCTTTTTTTTTTGTTCGAAACGATATAGATCTTATATAAATCCGCACAAAGGTGCAAAATGACAGCTACAAGCTGAATACAAACAGCCAACGACTGAATACAAACAACCAACAGCTGAATAAAAATGGGAGGACAGGTCAAAGACCGCCTATATTTGGAATAAATTTGATTCCAATATTTGGAATATATTTGATTGTATTTGCATAACAATATGTAAAAAAAAAGTTTATACGTTCAAGTAAGAGATTATTTATATGAATATAAACACTTGTAAATCAAATTTCTATAAAGATTGCATTTCATATTTATCTTTTTTATTTTAGCATTCTCATTGATTTTGTGTTTATTTTTTTTTTATTCTCTTAGTCTCATTTTATGGTCAATTTGATTCCAATCTTTGGAATAAATATAAAATATAATCTTTAAAATGGATTTGTTCGGTTTTAAAAAGAGATTTAGATTGTATCTATTGCATAACAATACTAAAAAAAATATTATTAAGTTCAAATAAGAGATTTATTTATGAATAGAAACACTTGTAAATCATTTTCCATAAACATTACATTTCGTATTTATCTTATTTTATTCTAGCATTTTGTAGTACAAACAATTAATATGAAGAACCGTGTGTGAATTAAATTTTATTACGACAAAAAGGTTAAAATAATAATAAAATTTGATTTGTGTATATCTAAAAGACGTTTCACCACAAAAATTGAGATACAATAAAAAAAGGTTCGTTGAAAATTTTGATTTAGTTTGTATGCCTTGTAGTTGAAAATGATAAATATTAATAGAAACTGTTTATTATCAAAGTAAAATAAAACAAACATAAATCCGTAAAACAAAAATATATAGATCAGAGGATAAAACAACGATATTAAATAAATAAAATAAAAATCTACAAATGATGTAGAAAAAATTTTATTCCATAAAAAAGAAACTCAAAAAATCCGAGGACAAGCAAAAAAAAAAAAAATAGAGCTATTACAAAAAAAGAATTATAATGTTCAGGATCTTCTCTCACTGGCAATTTTTTTTTATTCTCTCAAAATTTTTCATAGTTATTGGAATGAATTTCTGTTGAAATTTATTCCAAGAATTTGAGGTTTTCAATTGTTGAAATCCTATGGTATAGTATCACTGTAACTATAGCTGAAATGTAAGTAAAATGGACCCTAAAAGATGGTCAAGGATTTGTAATTTATACATATGATTCATATCATTCACGATGGATTCTAGTTTCATTTTATGTATATGTGAGAGTGAAATTTTATGGTCAAATTTTCCTCTATAATTAACTCCTTTACTTGCCTTATATTTTGGCTTCTAGAAAATTTCTACCATTTTTCATTCCAATTATTTGTTAATATTAAGGAAAATGCTACATGTACATAATAAATGTACATAGAGATGTACATAACACTCACATGGAGTGGGGTCTGCTTAATTTTTTATTTTTTGTAGGTCCCACTCAATGTGAGTGTTATGTACACCCCTATGTACAATATTATGTACTTGTAGCATTACTCTAATATTAATTTTGATTTTGGAGAATTAATTGTTTCTTTGATTTAGAAAGTAATGACTTCATGAACTGAATTTTAATAATCCTCCATACGCTAATATGACTTTACTGCAGTATTTGTGAGATTTATATAAGATTTATTTTACCTTTATTTTATAAAGATAAAATAAAATATACAAATTAAATAAAATTTGTGTATACATATATAGGATTCTTGTACCACAAAAACATGTTACCATAAAAATATTGGTTTACCTTAAAAAAATGATTTTGACAAAATCGATTCAAACATAATTCCTTTTTTCATGAATCTTCCTTCCTAAGCAATTAATGCTTTTTTTATTGGTTTTGTATTTAATATGTGTGTGATAATTCTATTTTGGAAAGTCATTAATTATTTTGACGGGAAATTCTTACTAAAAATGAATTATGTTAATCCTTATTATATATAGATAGATAGATTTATATATCTTTCATTAAATTAAAGGTTTGCCTCATGTGCAAATAAATTTAACAAAATTGCATATAAGTCCCCTAATTCACTTACAAAATTGCATATAATCCGAAATTTCTCGTTTTGACATTTAGAACCAATAACATGACCTACTCACTTTTTTGAAGTTGTCCAAATTATTAGAATTACCAAGTCACAAACACGTGTAGTAGCATATTAGTAACCCTTATCAGATTGTTCATTAGTCATAAATATTTGGTCTATATTTATCAACTGCTCCCATTCCATGACATATCATTACAACACACAACAAAAGCTTCTCCCTAATACAGAGAGAAAATATTTAGAAATCTAAGTAAAGTTAGTTTTGATTTAGCCGGGCATGTGCCTTGGATTAAGGTGGTACACATCGGCTTTCAGGTGGCCGGAATTCGATCTTTCGAATATGTTGTCCGTTTTCCGGTGGCCGGAGCTGAGCTTTCCCCAATTACTCAACGAAGGGTGGACTAACTTCCGGTGGCTCGATATATCGGTCGATTATGCGTTATGGACTCTAGTTTACATGTGTGAGTCCTTAGCGTTGACTACTATGCTTTGTTATTTCTTCATATTCTGTGGTTGTACTTTATGAATCCATAGCTTAGGATAGCCATGTTTTTATGTCAACTATTTATTTTTTTTTTCATTAAGGAATACTGTTATTAATCAGCCTGATAGTGTAAAATTGAAAGGTGAGTTACATATTTCAACAAAAGAAAAAATGATACACAAAACATCTGACAGCTGAACAAACTTGAAAAGATTATCCACAGATTCCTTCATATTTCAACATAAGGGAAACAAAAAATGGTATAGAAAAGAGAGATCTTTCAGAAGAAACTCAGAAAAAAACCCGAATTCTCATTGGCCGACAACAAAGTACCCGGGAACATGCCTCGAGTACAAGCCACCTCCCGGTCGACCATTGCCATCAGCTTTCGTCTTTGGAAAATCACTTGCTTTCACCACACTCAGATCAATCTTTCCTGTAGAGGCCTCACGTCCCTTGTTGTAAATATACCTCGTGAAACCTTTCTTAATGGACTCGATATTGATGGAACTGGTCCTCCCGGGACACAGTCCCCAGTAGAAGATCACGTGCGGCACCAACAAATCAACGTCGACGTATTCTGTAGGATTCGGGTCGCAAAATCCCTGAATCTCCTCCAACTGTGCAATAAATCAAACGAAAAAGTGAGGAAAAAACATAAACATAAAATTATAGCGTACGGTTAAACAAACGTAGATAAGGAAAAAAAGAGTACCTTGAGCAGAAGAATATGGATTCGAGACTTCACCCAGCCTTCCCAGCCACTTAACTCGCTCTGCTCTGAGCATGAAAGACATATTTTGAGAAAACGGCTGTACTTCTTCGCATAAGGAAACGGCTCGAATAAAGGTTGCCAGTCGAAATCTTGCCGACCCATATCCTGCAGCACCAAAGAAGAACGAAAAGTCACGACATTTAGCTTATAGAAACAGACACCAAAATGTAGAAAAAAGCAAGTTTGTTTTAAATCTAGATCAATGAACTGTATTGCCTTTGTTATATCATATCCATGCAGAAACTCTTTTCTGATCCGGTTGAATGTGCTTCTGGTAAAGTGAGAATAGCAGTATTCATTTCGACTACACGGCATTTGAATCGGCATCAAAATCTTTTCGAGAGAAATGCTGTCTGATTGCAGAGGCAATACACCTACTTCCAAAATCACAGGAGTGGGCCAAGGCCAGAACGCGAACATCTGAAGGAAACTAAAAAGCAACACATTCAAGTTGGCAGTAGGTTGCTTTAGGCAAACAAATGCTGCAAGAACAGCCAAATGTATCCCTCCAAAATATCCTGATACCTGAGAAGAATAGTTTCGAATTAATCAGTTAACGGAATACGAATAAAAGGACAATATGCAGGAATGATCTATCATATGAGAAGCCAATTCTTACATTTCCATAAATGCCTCGCCTTTTTGCCCAGAATTTGACACAGCGCAACAGTGACCGGTATACCTTCACAAAGATGAAGTCAAAATAGAACAGGATTCAATGAATATATCTGTTAGAAGTTTAAGTGTGTATCTTATTAACAAAAGTAGTATTGCTCTATACTTTGCTACTTCTGACTAGGATTCATGGTTGATATAATCCCATTAAGATCTCAATTAATTCTTAAACTCTAAAGAAGTTCTACAAGAAAAGTATTTAACTTCATAGATTTCAGATACACAAACGTAGCATAGTTAAAAGCGAGACATGATCATCGTATAACAAAGTAGGGCATAAAAGTTAAATTAAAGTAGAATAATCTAAATTGACTGCTAAGAAAAAGCAAAGATAAAGACGATACTGATCATCGAAGAAGCATGAGAAGATAAGACTGGGAAAGAATGAACAAAGAAATAAGTACCTACCGTGTATAGGAAAGAAATAGATCGAGCATTCTCATTTGCAAGAAAACAGCATAAACCACAATTTTTCACAAGTCATAACAAAGATATTCCAGTCATTTTACAACTACGTTGAGCAGCACAAATGAGCATAATAAAGGACATTCCTTCTGAACTGGGAGAAAGAAGAACGTAAGCATTTACCTCTAGGTTTGGCACAAGTTGAAGAATGCGCATATTTGCACAAACACCTGACAAGCTCTTTAAACTGATCTCATCAACATTTGACGAAAATAACGGGTCGAGCAAATTCACATTCTGCGCATCACATGACAAGCATAAAAATTAGTTATTCATGATATATTTGAGATCAAACCAAGCTACAACAATATGTTGAACATTTCACAAAGCAAGAGTCTTTTGTTCATTTTGTAAAACAACAACCTGCTGACTAACAACAACACTTGTATAAGAATATAGCACCCAGTTTCCATTAGTCAGCACTCCTAAGGGTGGAGATAAGGGATTTACAAGATAATAACTGGGTATTCTTTAAATAAGAAGACCTCTTCATAATTATCTCTAAACAATTGATTCGATCAAATGAGCAGAAAAATTTGTACCTCAGGGACAGTGATTATATTAAGCCTGGCATATGTAAGATCAATTGAGATCCCATCAAAGTTGAGCCGCATTAGGGGAATCCTAGCATCCGTGACACATAAGATCTCTGTTACTTCAGGTCTACTCGCGAGCATATTCCTCAGAACAATAAAGAAGTCCTCCTGCAGATGTTACAAAAATAAAGAGAAATGCAATATTGCATAGTTTTCTATGTAAAGGAAACGAGATGGACTTACTGCCATAGTGGCAAAGCATGGACCAACACACAAAGCGTCTATGTCAGACTCATAATTGTGCACCTGCATCCAATTAAAGCAAAAAAAGGTATAATAATACCATATAAGAGATAACAAGAGGTCAGAATTGAGGAGGTGGAATCATTTGCTGAACTTAGATGTAAGGTAAATTTGTAGTACCATATTCAAACCCAAAGAAAGTTGTTTGTAATGCTATAATGGGAGGTTTTTAATTCCAAAAGCCAGTTCTACAATTGTCCCTAGCTAATAACTAGAGTACAAGTCTGCATTTCAATAGGATGGAGTTTTACTTACACCGAGGCCATATGAACCATATACTAGGACTGTTGCTGAAGCAGCCCTAATTAAACTCTTTGGAAATCGACGCAGAAAAGCAACCCTCTTAGCCCACACCACGACAATCTGAACAAAAAAAAAAAAAAAAAGAAGAAGAAGAAGCTCCAAACTTAGAGACTGCTTAAGCTGAAAACTTGTGTTGAAGGTGTAGAGCTCTTTTAAATTAATTTCCTAGGAAACACCGAAATACCATGAAATTTAAGGGTAAAAAAAGTAATGCTGGTCGTCTAATATGTTCAACTGTGCACATTCTGTCTCTTAGTAGCTAAAGGTTAAGAAGAGCACATTATTAGTTTCTGTTCATCCCTGTTGTTGGAGGATAGCCGTTACTCATTTGCTATCAATCAAGTTCATCTCATGTGGCTATTCAAGAAACTAAAGACCTATCAGCTGTGTTGTTGATATAAATCACGATAACTGTTCTGAGCTCGAAGTTCTCCGTGGGTTGAAATATCTTAAGAAAACATGGTCTAGCACAAAGAAAAGAACTCTTATGATACCTAAAGTGCCGATGAATCTTTAGAATGAGACATAATGATACTATGCATGTAAACATTTGACTGGACAAAGAGACGACAACAGAAAGACATGTGGTATTCTTATATTATTCTGTGTCTATACTCATAGATAAAATCAATTTTTCTCAAAAAGTAATCACCCTCAAGTCGCCAGTGGATCCAGAGATTCATATCCTTAAATTCAGGATTAGTGGATTACCCATTGCTAGCCGATGAAGATCCCATTAATATATTTTCTGTATTTTTATTTATTTGACTAATAAACCTAGCACATTCATGACTAAAGTTCATATCACAGAAACATACTAAAAGGTGTCAAATAATAACATGCATCAACCAATTCATCCCATAATCAGAATACACGTTAAGAATAAAGGAACGAACACCTCTCTGAGCTTGTCGACAACAATTCTTCTCCTGATTTCCTCCTCCGCAGATGGTGTCAAGCCCTCACTGCCCATCAACTACAATCAAGAAAATAAACAAGAAATACAAATGAACCGAAAGAATCCGAAGAGACAACCACGTTCAAGAGACGAAACCCATATCAAGAAACTCAAATATAACAGCCAGAAGAATAACCCATAAAGAGACGCAAATGAAAGACTCGAGAGGACCATTTTTCCAGTAAGAAAAACACAAATGGAATTTCGAAAAGCAATCAAGTGATCAACAGGGTGAAAACCTGAAGCAAAGCCATAGATTTTTCGATCTCCATTCTGAATGGGTTCAACACAAGAGGCCCAGGAAGGCGATGGAAGAACGGGCCATTACAGCACCTCTTGAGACGAAATAACGACACCCCTCGATTAAAGCACCGCGCACAAATTCCAGCCATGGCTGAAAATTCTCAATCCGAGTGACCGAATCTGGAGAAGATTCATGTAGCTACACATATATGCGAAAAATGCGAGAGCAAATTTTACAGGAAAAGCAGAAAAATGTGAGAAAATTCTTCAAGATTTCAAATGGGGGGTTTTAGTTTGCGTTTGTTGTGTATTTTGAAACTTCGAACGGTGATTAGAGGGTGGAAAAAGGGGTTTATATATATTAATTAATAATTAAATGTTTAATTAATAATTAAATTTTACCTTTCCGAGAATTGGCGGTAATATGACTGTAGGTTTTGAGTTGGGCCCATTCAGTGGGCTATATTTTATTTTTCGGGCCATGTTATATTGGAAGCCTTTTATAGGATTATGCCGTCTAAGACCATCTCCAACCGAAAAACTCAAACTCAAATCCATTTTGCAGTAACTATCCCATTTTGCAGTAATTAATCTCCAACCGAAAAACTCATTCTCAAACCCAAAAGAATATTCCCAGAATATTCTCTTTTACACCAACTTTTATAATTTTTCAATACTACCCACTTATTTTACAACTTTACAAATTAAACCACATTATTATTTTAAATTCAATTTGGACTTTATGTAATTAAATATTAATTATACATAATAAAATGGGAGAAATAAATATTCATTAAAAATTGAAATTTCGCCACAAAAATAAAATTAAATATTACAAGACACAAGATGAAAAATTAAAAATTACAACACACGTGATAAAATTAGAAATTACAACACGCAAAATGAAAATTTAAATATTACAACACACAAGATAAAATAGAAAATTACAACAATCACGTAAAAATAGATAGTCTTTCAAGTCTCGGAGTTGGTGAATTCTTCCCATAAATGTTCAATCAGTGCATTCCGAAGTGCAATATGATCATCTTTATTTCTAATTCTTTTGTACCGAGATATAAATTCTTGAAATCGAGTACTTTCATCTACTGCCATTTCGACCTCCAGCGGCGGCGTTTCCATTTCAGTTTCTATTGGTGCACTTAGGTCACGTTCATCCTCGACAATCATGTTATGCAAAATTATACATGTGGTTATGATATCATGTAACACTTCTTTTCGCCAATAACGTACTGGTCCTGCTACAATGCCAAAACGTGATTGAAGAACTCCAAATGCACGTTCAACGTCTTTTCTGCAGGCTTCTTGTTTCATTGCAAAATATTTTTTCTTTGGACCACGTGGCTCATAAATTGTTTGCACAATGGTAGACCATTTTGGATATATTCTATCAGCTAAATAATAACCCATGTTGTATTCTTTTCCTTGAATTATATAATGAGCTGGAGGAGCAATACCTTGGGTTAGATCCGAGAAAAGATGAGATGATTCTAGAACGTTGATGTCATTGTTGGAGCCCGGCAAACCGAAATAAGCATGCCATATCCATAGATCATAATCTGCTACAGCTTCAAGGATGATTGTAGGCTTTCCACTACGACAAGCATATTGGCCAGCCCACGCTGTAGGACAATTTTTCCACCTCCAATGCATGCAATCTAAACTCCCCAACATTCCTGGAAAACCACGTTGCTGGCCAATGTATAGAAGCCTGGAAATATCATCAGGTGTGGGCCTCCGCAGATATCGCTCGCCAAATACCTCAACTATCGATCGACAAAATTTTTTCATACTTTCAATTGCAGTGGACTCACCAATTTTAACATACTCGTCTGTAGCATCAGCTGGAACGCCGTATGCCAACATACGAAAGACAGCAGTTATTTTTTGTATTGGAGATAATCCGAGTCTGCCTGCTCGATCCACTCGCTGTTGAAAGTAATGATCATGATCTTTGACTGCGTCGACAATTCGAAGGAACAACGAACGAGACATTCTGTATCTTCTACGAAACATGGTCTCGTTATACAATGGATTTTCTGAGGAATAATCATTGTACAACCTACGATCAGCAGCCTCTCGATCACGATTGATAAAAATATGCCCAGGAACAGATCCTCCATGGGAGGCTTCTTGGTTTTGTTGATTGATAAGATGTTGAATAATGATGTTGTTATTAGCGATAGCTTGAGCTATCACTGCTTGTTTTTGACGAAGAGCATTCATAATTACCATATGATTATCCTCAGAATCAGAGGAAGAAGATGACGAATTGCCAAAAGTAAAATTCATTGTAGAGAGAGAAATATGATAAGATGTTATATGTTATGTTCTTATAGTAGTGAATTTAAAAGGTGTGGTAACCTTTGTGGGGAGTGGTTATTTTCAAGTCAAAGCATTGATAGGCGTGACAGTCTTTGAGGTGAGAGGTCATTTTTTGGTCAGAACATGGATAAGCGTGATAAACTTTGCAGTGATGTGTCATTTTCGGGTCAAAACATGGATAAGTGTGATCAACTTTGCAGAGGGTTTCCACTTTCGGGTCAAAGCATTGAGAGAGGTGGGGGACATTGCAGTGATGTGTCATTTTCGGGTCAGAACATTGATAAGTGTGATAAACTTTGCAGTGATGTGTCATTTTCGGGTCAGAACATGGATAAGTGTGATCAACTTTGCAGAGGGTTTCCACTTTCGGGTCAAAGCATTGAGAGAGGTGGGGGACATTGCA